ATCCAATATTTTGTAAATCAAACAATTTATACGAAATTACACTATGAATTAAGCAAAAAAATTATTTTAAAATAATGCTGGAGATTCAGGGTTTAAAATAAATATAAATTTTTTATGCTAGCTTTCATAATTTATATTTTAAATTTAATGTGAAAGTGATGCAATACTTTTGATAGCCACTGTATTGTATCAATCTGCAAAATGACAAAACGCTGTGTGTTTTTTTTTACACGACATTTATTTTAATGTTTTCACATGTCACCAAATGAGATCTTTTAAGAAATATTCTGTAAAAATCGATATTTAATGAATTCAGTTTCTTTTTAATTTTGAAAAAAAAAAAAAAAAAACAAAAAATCACATTTTCTTTCAAAAAAAAAAAATAAAATAAATTTTCAAAAAATAATGATTATTACGCAAACCTTGCTAACAATCGGCAGGTTACCCTTACCCGAATCCTGCCGACAATTGTCGGTAGGTTAGCCTTACCCGACCGAGAATGCGTGGGCGCCCACAATAGCCCCGCACAAGCTTGCCGACAATTCTAACGTCGGCAAGCTTCGTTGCCCCAACCGGCAGGTCGGGCAAAATAAAACGTTTGGATGTATGTACTTGGTTTAGTTTGGGTATTTGGATGTACAAATAGGTTTGGTTGTATTTGATATGTTGATGTATTTGGATTCGTATTTGGATGTGCAATTTTGTTGATGTTGAGTTGAGTTGGGTGGGTCGCAATTAATGGGTGGAAGTTGTAGTTATTTGAGAGATCTTTTGAAATTAATCGTGTAATTTTTTTTAAATGTATTTTTTTTTTTTTATAATTAATAAATAAGGATAACATTTGTAACCTATAATAAACATTATAATGATTAAATAAAAAATTATTTTTTAATTTTTATATATTTGATTCGAAATTTCGCCGACGTTTATTTTAAAATTTTGCGGCTTATCGGATATTTCACATAGTAAACAAATGTGCATTTAAATGGAAGTTAATGAACTATTCATTGTTAAAGTTAAATAATGTGAGTAAACAAAATTGAATATGTATTTATTTATATTTGATTGGTGTAACTGATTTATAAATTTGATTGAAATTTCTAATCATTTGATTGGCACCGATATTTCCGAACAATCCGACAGTGCCGATAAAAAATTTACACGTCCCGCAAAATCTGCGGCTTCTGGCTTACAGCTAATTTCATAAGTCACGGGACAACCGATAATAACCGAGACTTTTCCAAGAAAATTTATAAGGATTTGAAAAAGCCAACCACATTTTATATGGGTAAAAAAATTATGTCGCTATATTCGGAACACTGATCTGAACATAACGATAATGTTTTTTTCTTCAAAAAATTCTATACCGAGTTTTACCGAGTTTTTTATCGATCTGCAAAATGATCGTCCGTCCCGTGACTTTTGAAATTTGCTGTAAAAGCTGGAGATCATCGTCCCTGATTTGATTGAATATGTTACACAAACACGAAGTTTATATATCGGTAAAAGAAGACAATAACGTAACAACTTTTTTCGCGTTCATTGATCAACGTTAATTTCTCGCGAAACAAATGTCTACATTCGGCCGAACAGAGTGTTAACTTCTGAACAACTAGTAAAAAAGGTATGTACAATAGTAAGCATTTACTTATAGATTAGTCGTTATCATATATTAATTAATTAAATCATTCTATAATAATAAAGCTAGCCAACTGTAAAATACTCACTGAAAGTTTTTTTATCCAAAATGAATTAATCATTTTCTCAATAGGCATGTATCAGAATCATTTTATGATGAACGTAAGGTCCTTAAACCTCATAAACGGTATGTAAATATATATATTTTTTTATTTTGGAAAATTTTCAATACTCGTATAATATTTGAATTTTATTGATTAGCAGATATCAATGATGAGGACCTAAAAATTTGGATTATTCCAAAATATGCGATTATCGAAGACCATATAATTAATGTAGAATGACATCAAAGAGATTAAGACAAATGAATTTATCTGAAGACCTGATGGAACAACAACCAAATGGGATCTATTATTGTATGTAGTTTCTCTTTCTGTAGAACTAGTATATGCTATTAGAACGTCAGTTTCTTTCTATGTCAATATATTTTTTAAGATGCAAGCGAGGATGAATTATTAATTTATTGATACTGGTCAATAGGTAATCAAAGAAATATGCAAACGAACCTGTCATCGGCTTAAATTTAATTATAATACAAACCAGTCACACAATTGAAAAAATAATTAGTATAAGATCAACCTTACGCTTGGGATAAAAAAATTGGAGCTTAAACATCTCAACATAAATGGTTGAATTTACCTTGTGAAAAAAAGGACGTAAAGATCTTTTTTATATGATCCGACTGTTTTTTCATACGCACTTGTACGTATACGATTTATAAAAACCTAAAGTTGGTATGTATTTTTTCCATTTCGCGATGTATAATTTTATATACAGTATTTATTTTGAAATAAATCATAGTAAATTATTATGCCCTTTTTTAATATCCTATACGGACTTTTTTTTCCATATAGTCGATTACATGTTGAAGTTATCTTATTGATTTGTTATTGAAAATATCCAAAATGGACCAGCGGACGACATGCTTCATCCTATGTCGTATGGCATGAGTTGACATCCAAAGTCGTTCGAAAAAGCTTTTTATTGGTACAAAAAAGCAGCAGAAAATGATAGCAAAAGATGCGCAATATCAACTTGCACTCTTATAATGGCATGAGTGGATTTTGCGACCTACGTTCTGAAATTTTTCTTCCGAGACGACAGGCTTCGCCGTTTCCCCCACGCATATACATCTCCTTCTCTGGTAGATACTCGATCTCACCATAACGACCCTTACAATTTCTCCTTTCGAATTACGTCGTCAAAAGGATATCATCACTAGATATCATTTCCTTAAGGTTGAATCTATTTCAACCAACAATAATTATTAACTGTCTCATCAAGAACATCAAGAAACGAATCCGATTATAAAACGGAACTTAGCGCGAAAAATTCCTTTCACAGCCAGCGTACATTCGGACGGCATTCTTCATCCTAAGTCATATAAGTCATATATATACACAGTCGCTTAAGGATTCGATGCATGCTGTTGAAATACCTCCGAATAGTAATCGACCCATCTTAAAAGCGGATGATCTTAGAAATCAGCTAAATAACAATATATGGCATGAGTGGGTTGACATCCAAAGTCGTTCGAAAAAGCTAAAAAATACCAAACTGTTAAACGGTGGTTAGGGATTCAATTATGATATGTTCTATTCCATTTCCATAATTTTAATACAATTACATCTTCAACACGTTTGGAGCTAACCAAAAATTGAGCGGCTTTTTATTGGTACAAAAAAGCAGCGGAAAGTGATAGCAAAATATGCGCAATATCAACTTGCACTCTTATAATGTTATGAGTAGATTTTGCGATCAGCGTTCTGAAATTTATCTTCCGAGACGACAGGCTTCGCCGTTTCCTCACGCATATACATCTCCTTCTCTGATACTCGATCTCACCACAACGACCCTTAAAAATTCTCCTTTCGAATCACGTCGTCAAAAAGGATATCATCACCAGATATCATTTCTTAAGGTTGAATCTATTTCAACCAACGATAAATTATTAACTGTCTCATCACGGTACATTATTTAATTTGTTAAATTACCATATAATAAAAATATACGAATATTACGAAAGAATACTTGAAATATAAAATGTTTGATCTTATCTTTATGAATTCACGAAACGAACACTTTAGATACTACTTTCTCGGCATCGTTGCATCAATACGTGAAACATTTTTATTTTATTTTATTTATTTTTTTTTTAAGATAATAAAATCCAAAGAAATTATGAGGTCTATATTTCTTAAAAAAATTTTTTTTTATCATAATAATCATAAATCGATGGAAGTAGGAAAAAAAAAAAAATGCAAAATAGGGGTAAAACACTTTGATTCGATGGTACCGTCGAAAATCGAAATTATTTTAAAAATCTCAATCATGATTTATTTAATAATATTTAAAAAGTTCATTTTCTATTTTCTTTACGAAGGCATTATATCCCTTGTGAATTTTTCAATCGTAAATATTGTCGTTTATTTATAATTTGACATTTAATTTTCTTTTAAAAATTTAAAAAAAAATTCTAAATAATGCGTCACGTCATGAAGGTTGTTATGTTAATTAATAAGGTATAAACCGTATAGTCCCGAAAATAAGCACACAGTGACATACAGGCATTTATTAGTAT